AAGGCATCTCTTCTATACATGCACAATGCACATTAACTGGGGATGTATTCTGAACAAGAGCAGCTTACCCCCGGATTTCAAGAATGACAATGCAGCCATCATTTCTGGCCCATCTGGGCCACCGCGCAGTGTAAGCTGCCTGTGACTGAGCTCAGGAGGTGCAGGCTGCTCATTGGCATTCAGGCACTGGCTCTGTTAGCTGTAAATCTGAGTCTGCTGACAGTTAATCTAATGCACTTCAAGCTTCCAGACCCTGTGCTGGCACAAACAGTCCCTAGAGATCCAGCCCCATCCCCCAGAATCAAATGGGGACCACAGAGACTGGCTCCATCAGCCCAGAAGACACCAGTGGCAGCAGCTCTCTTATCCCTCTGCTTCCCAGTATGTGACAATGAAGTGCGGGGTGGGGGGATCCAGCCAGGACATTTGCACCCCAAAGATGGGGCTCAGTGCAGCCAAGCAGAAGGAGAGAGTTCTTTACAATGGGGATGGGGGAGAAGGGCACAGAGGAAAAGACAGCCACAAAAAATGAACGTCTACCCACACTGTGTCTGTAAGTAAAAATTAGCTCAAAATGAATCATAGCTACTTTACATGTAAGATACAAAACCATTAACATTCTAGGAGGAAACATTTGTAATTTTAGTAAGGCAATGTTTTGTTTGTTTGTTTGCTTCAACACCAAAAAAACACATGCTATTACAGAAGTTAGACTGTCAAATTTATGAACTTCTCGTCACAAGACACTGTTAAGAGAACAAAAAGACAGAAGAGGAACGTGGAGGACCTTGAATAGATACGTCACAAAGAAAATATACTGTTGGAAAATCAACACAAAAAAAGGTGCTCAACATAACTGGTAAACCCGAGTCTACTGATGGCTAATGTGCTAACATAGTTCAAGCTTCCAGACCAATTAAAAATAGCAATTAGAAATACCAATTAAAAAACAAATAAGATACTGCTATACCCCTATTAGAATGGACAAAAAAAAATAAAAACAACTAAAACCCATATTAAGTATCAATGGGGACGTCAAGCACAGGAACTCTTACATTCTGGTAGGAATGGAAAATGCTTTGAAAAATCGTTTCTTATAAAATTAAGCACATGCTTACCATGAGCAACAATCCCAATCCTAGGTCTTTACCCAAGGGAAATGAAAGCCCATATTCATATGAAAACCTGTACACAAATGTTTGTAGCAGTTCTACTCATAATTGCCCTGAACTGGAAGCGACTCAGATGCTCTTCAGCTAGAAACTGGCCACATGGCAGTACCCACATGTATGTGGCATGCTACTAAGGAGCAAAAAGGGACAAACAGCCAACTCACACAGAAGCACAAAGGAGTCTGAAGTAGGGTTCACTAAATGAACAAAGTCAGATCCATTCATACAACTTAGAAATGGCAAAACTGAAAGGATGGAAAACTGATCAGATTTTCCAGGGGAGGGCTGGAAGGAAGCAACAGCAGAAGACAGCAAGAGAGAGTCTGGAAAGGTCTGTCTGGGTCAGGATTGTGGTGGTGGATTCATGCACTATGCATGTGTCAAAACCTAAAGAACCACAACCAACAGGGCAAAACCAGAAAATTTCACCATGTGTAAGTTTATTTTAAAAGTCAACATGTGGAGGCTGGGGATTTAGCTCAGTGGTTCTGCTGCCTGACTTGCAAGCTCAAAGACCCGAGTTTGATCCCTGGTACAAAAAAAAAAAAAAAAAAAAAAAAAAAAAAAAAAAAAAAAAA